TACACATACACACAAGGCCCCTTGCAGTGCTAAGTGGCACCTGGGGTGGAAAGAGAAGGGGATAGGACATGGGCTAGAAACTAGCACACAGTGCTCCCCACAGCATCACATTCTGGAGCGGAACTCTAAAGAGTCCAGAAATCCTAAACTGAAGTCTTTGTTCATGTCGTTATGAAGGTTGTCTGTCAGTGTGATGAGTTAGAGCATATTTTACTTAACTGTTTATTAGCTTTACTTTTAACTGTAAATATTCAGTCACATGGTATATGGGTCTTTATTTGAGTTCCATGAATGTTGGGGAGGGGTCCCATGCATTTTCCTTTCCCTTCCCTTCCTTCCTTTCTTTCTCTTTCTTCCTTTCTTTTCCTTCCTTCCTTCCTTCCTTCCTTCCTTCTTTCCTTCCTTCCTTCCTTCCTTCCTTCCTTCCTTCCTTCCTTCTTTCCTTCTTTCCTTCTTTCCTCCCTCCCTCCCTTTCTTTCTTATTTCTTATTTATTTATTTATTTATTTATTTTTGAGTCGGTCGGAGTCCCGCTTTGTCGCCCAGGCTGGAGTGCAGTGGCGCCATCTTGGCTCACTGCAACCTCCGCCTCCCAGGTTTAAGTGATTTTCCTGCCTCAGCCTCCTAAGTAGCTGAGATTACAGGCGCCCGCCACCATGCCTGGCTAATTTTTGTGTTTTTAGTAGAGACAGGGTTTCACCATGTTGGCCAGGATGGTCTTGATCTCTTCACCTTGTGATCCACCTGCCTTGGCCTCCCAAAGTGCTGGGATTACAGGCATGAGCCACCGCACCCAGCTCCTTCCTTCCTTTCCCCCCCCCCCCCCCCCCCCCCCCCCCTCCCTCCCTCCCTCCCTCCCTCCCTCCTTCCTTCCTTCCTTCCTTCCCTTCCTTCCTTCCTTCCTTCCTTCCTTCCCTTCCTCTTTTTCTCTCTCAGGGTCTCTCTCTGTCACCTAGGCTGGAGTGCAGTGGTGAAATCATGGCTAACTGCAGTTTTGATCTCCTGGGCTCAAGTGATCCTCCCACCTCAGCCTCCAGAGTAGCTGGGACTACAAGCACATGCCATCATGACTGGCTAATTTATATTTTATTAGCCAAAAAAAAAAAAAAAAATTATATATATATATATAATTTTTTTTTTTGTAGGAATGAGGTTTCACCCTGTTGCTCAGGCTGATCTCAAACTGTTGGGCTCAAGCAATCTGCCATCTTGGCTTCTCAAAAGTGTTAGCATTGTAGCCATGAGCCACTGAGCCTGGCTCATGTTTTGTTAATTTGTAGAGTTAAACATTTATCACAACTTTGTTTAGTTTTGTGATTTTGCCTATAAATTTGTTTAGTTTAACAATGTTTTGTCATGTTAAGTAATTATACTTCTTAAATAGTCATATCTCATTATTTTTCACTGTGCAGTCTTCTGTGTGATTGATTTTCTATCACGGTCTCTATAAAGGGTTCTGTTCTTCTCTTTGGTGTTGTTTACTTCACCATGAAAAGGCCTGTTTCAGACATATTTAGGACATGTCTGCCAGTATTTTTTTTTTTTTTTTGTAGAGATGAGGTTTCACCCTGTTGCTCAGGCTGATCTCAAACTGTTGGGCTCAAGCAATCTGCCTGTCTTGGCTTCTCAAAAGTGTTAGCATTGTAGCCATGAGCCACTGAGCCTGGCTCATGTTTTTGTTAATTTGTAAGAGTTAAACATTTATCACAACTTTGTTCTAGTTTGTGATTTGCCTATAAATTTGTTTTAGTTTAACAATGTTTTGTCATGTTAAGTAATTATACTTCTTAAATAGTCATATCTCATTATTTTTCACTGTGCAGTCTTCTGTGTGATTGATTTTCTATCACGGTCTCTATAAAGGGTTCTGTTCTTCTCTTTGGTGTTGTTTACTTCACCATGAAAAGGCCTGTTTCAGACATATTTAGGACATGTCTGCCAGTATGCTTTTTATTAGATCTGAATTTCTTTTTTTTTTTTTGAGACAGAGTCTTGCTCTGTTGCCCAGGCTGGAGTGCAGTGGCTTGATCTCAGCTCACTGCAAACTTCGCCTCCTGGGCTCAAGTAATTCTTCTGTCTCAGCCTCCTGAGTAGCTGGGACTACAGGCATGCGCCACCACACCTGACTATTTTTAGTAGAGATGGGGTTTCACCATATTGGCCAGGCTGGCCTCAAACTCCTGACCTTGTGATCTGCCCGCCTCAGCCTTCCAAAGTGCTGGGGTTACAGGCATGCGCCATCACGCTGGGCCTAGATCTGGATTTCTTAAGTGGAGTCTGAGTTTCTTGGCTTGGGGTTTCATTTTACTTCAGTTTCTGAAGATTTGAAGTAAACCTTCATACTTTTTCATGACATGAATCCCTCAGGGAGTGTGTTTTATACATTTATGTTTTCCATTGTTGGGTGCATATATATTTACGATTGTTGTATCCTGTTGCTGAATTGATCCCTTTATCATTATATAATGTTTTTCTTTGTTTCTTTATAGTTTTTTATTTAAAGTTGTTTTTTTTTTCCCCTGACATAAGGATTATAATCCCTGCTGTTTTTTGGCTTCCCTTTGGGTAGAATATATTTTTCTTTCTTTCTTTTTTTTTTTTTTTTTGAGACAGAGTCTTGCTTTGTCGCTCAGGCTGAAGTGCAGTGGTGTGATCTCAACTCACTGCAACCTCTGCCTCTGGGTTCAAGTGATTCTCCTGCCTCAGCCTCCCTGGTAGCTGGAATTACAGGCACATGCCACCATGCCTGGCTAATTTTTGTACTGTTAGTAGAGATGGGGTTCCACCATGCTGGCCAGGCTGGTCTCGAATGCCTACCTCAAGTGATCTGCTCACCTTGGCCTCCCAAAACATTGGATTACAGGTGTAAACCACCATGCCCAGCCCTAGAATATCTTTTTCCATCCCATCTCTTTCATTCTGTGTTTTTTACAGGTGAATTAAGTCTCTTGTAGGCGGCACATGATTGGGTGCTCCTTTCTATCTATTCCTTCACCCCATGTTTTTTGATTGGAGAATGTCATTCATGTCCATTCAAGGTAATTGTTGACAGGTGAGGACTTACTATTGCCATTTTCCTAATTATTTTCCAGTTATTTTATGTATTCTTTTTGTTTCTCCCTCTTTTACTGTTTTTCTTAGTGCTTAAATGATTTCTTCTAGTGGTATGTTTTGATTTCTTCCTTTTAAAACAAGCTTTATGTTGGGATGCTTCAAGAATGTGCATGTCAGCTGGGTGCGGTGGCTCATGCCTGTAATCCCAGCACTTTGGGAGGCTGAGGTGGGCGGATCACGAGGTCAGGAGATCGAGACCATCCTGGCTAACACAGTGAAACCCCGTCTCTATTAAAAATACAAAAAAATTAGCCAGCGTGATGGTGGGCGCCTGTAGTTCCAGCTACTCGGGAGGCTGAGGCAGGAGAATGGCGTGAACCCAGGAGGCAGCGCTTGCAGTGAGCTGAGATCACGCCACTGCACTCTAGCCTGGGCGACAGAACGAGACTCCACCTCAAAAAAAAAAAAAAAAAAAAAAAGAATGTGCATGTCATCTTTGTGCAGGGGCCACGATCATCCCTGTATCATTCCAGTTCTAGTTTATGTGCTGCCAAAGCGAACACTGATTTTTGACTTCTTCCTTTTGATTTGTTGTGTATGTTATAGGCCTTTGCTTTGTGTGTGCCACAAGGCTTGCAAAATACATCTTATAGTGTTAAAAGATTATTTTAAGATGATAACCACTTAACTTTGATCACAGAAATAAAATATCTCTACACTCTTACTCCTACTTTGTATCAAACTTTTCATTTAGGTTATTATGGTTTTTTCTTTCTAGGACTTCTATTTGTGGTTCTAATTGTTTGTACTTCTTTGCCAAACTTCTAATTTTGTTTATAGAGTTTTTTCAAATTTCATTTAATTTTCTATCTGTATTTTCTTTTAGACTCCTGAACTTTTAGAGAATCATTGTGAATTCATTTTCAGGCATTTTATAGATTTCCTTTTCTTCTAGGTCTGTTATTGGAGCTTTATTATTTTTTTCTAGCAGTGTCATTTTTTTTTTAAACATAAACCTGTGTCCTACGTAGTTGCTTTTATATTTGAGGAGATAGCCGTCCTTTCCAGCCTTTGCAGGTGTAATTTGGTTGTGGTAGACCTTTATTATTTAGTTTAGGAATTCTAGATGGGCTGGCTGGTTGAAACTCTGGACAGGCAGACTGTGCTGTGGGGTTCTCTCACTGGGCTGAGTTGCTTCCTGTTCTCTGAGGTTGAGTGGTTTTTCTGAATGTGCTCCACAGTCTTGTAAGGGCACTGGCTGGACTCTGCCATCATGTGTGGCTGCTGGCTGGGCTCTTCAGTTGTCTCTGATCAGGCATGGTTGGATGTTGTTTTCCCTGGCTGGGTGGTAATGTTATTAGGAACAACAACATGCACCGTGTTTCCTGCACATGATGCTGTTTGCTAGTTTCTATGGTGTGGCAAGTGTAGTAAGCCATTCTTGGCATTGCTATCAAGAAATACCTGAGACTGAGGAATTCATCAGGAAAAGAGGTTAAATTGGCTCTTTAACAGTGCTGCAGGCTGTACGGGAAGCATGGTGCCAGCATGCTTCATGGCGTCATCTGCTTTGCTTCCGGGGAGGCCTCAGGAAGCATTACTCATGGTGAAAGGCAGAATGAAAGCAGGCAATTCACATCACAAAAGCAGGAGCAAGGGAGAGTGGGGTGGGATTGCTCCACACTTTTAAATGACCAGATCTTGCAAGAACTCACTCACTATTGTGAGGACAGCAGCAAGCCATGAGGGATCTGCCTCCATGACCCAAACATCTCTCACTAAGCCCCACCTCCAACATTAGGGATTATAATTCAATGTGAGATTTGGGTGGGTACAAATATCCTAACCATATTGGCACCTCTGTTGGTGGGGATGCAGAGCAAGCACCAAAACCCATGAACTGGTTCCTGTGAGCCCCTCGTCCGCTGTTCTTTGACCCAACTGACCCCTGGTGTCCAGCCATGCTGGCATTCCCAACATTTCAAGTGGGACGAGATAGGAGCAAGCTACCCGTGAAGCATCCCAGAATGGTAGAGAAGCTGAATGTTCACTTCCAACTCATCCCTTCTACTGCAAAAACCATGGGTCCAGGAGAACTCTTAGCACATGGTGTCCTGCTGGCCCCAGGGAGGGACAGTGTTGTCAGAGAGAACCATTCCTCTTACTGTTTCACCATGACTGTTTTTTTTTTGTTGTTGTTCTTCAGTATGAGGGGGCATCTCAGCCTCACTCCCAAGGTCTTGATATTAATGATAGAATTCTTGACTTTGAAGAGTTGCCAGCGGATTTCCGGTAGGTGAAGTAAGTAAAGGCAGAAAACTTCTATTCCACAATCTTGCCGACCTCACTCTCCTGAAAGTGTTATTTGGTTCATTTGAGGTATCAATTTTGCAGTCTTTGCCTTTGCCTTCCTAAGGTTTTTCATTTTTTTGAGACAGAGTCTTGCTTTGTTGTCCAAGCTGCAGTGTAGTGGCATGATCCTAGCTCACTGCAACCTCCACCTCCTGGGTTCAAGCAATTCTCTTGCCTCAGCCTCCTGAGTAGCTGGGATTACAGGCACACACAACCACACCTGACTAATTTTTGTATTTTTAGTAGAGACGGGGTTTTACCATGTTTGTCTGGCTGGTCTTGAACTCCTGGCCTCAAGTGATCCAACTGCCTTGGCTTCCCAAAGTGTTGGGATTACAGGCATGAGCCACTGTGCCTGGCCAGATATTCTTTTTCATATGGAACTATAGCAGACCCTGTAAAATTCTCACCTACATCCCCATGGCTCTTAGTTTTCTTGCTCAGCAGCCAGACTTTGAATTTTCTGTAGACATGGCCAGCGGCATGTGCTGGCACTTTAATGCCTCCTGAGAGAAACTTTCAACCAGTGGCTAATGGGACTGAGTGGATATATTCCCAAGCTCCCTCCTACCTCAGGTAGAAAAACACAGAAGTATATATTCCTAAACACGTCCCAGGGTTCTGCACGTAAGATTAAATTCCAGTGGCCCACGGCAGTACCTTCCTTGGTGATGTGCATTGAATTGGCTGTTTACCTTGCTTGTTTCACTTCCCACTTCCCTACGCATGTCATTTGAAATCATCTTCTACATAAAATGTTTTCTCTTGAATCCTTATCAAGCATCTGTTTCTTGGGAAATTCAGACTTACCATTTTCCTTCCACACACCAAATATCATTTTCTCATACATTCCTCTGATTTTCTTATCTGTGGAAGAGTCACTTGCTAGTTGTGTGACTCTTAGGAAAACAAAGGACTTATTGTTTCTGAGTGTCCCTTTTAGTTTTTGCAAAACAGGAATTACTACTATTATTATTTTTCTGAGATGGAGTTTTACTCAGTCACCCAGGCTGGAGTGCAGTGGCATGATCTCAGCTCACTGCAACCTCCGCCTCCTGGGTTCAAGCGATTCTCCTGCTTCAACCTCCCAAGTAGCTGGGATTACAGGTGCCCACCACCACACCCAGCTAAGTTTTTTGTATTTTTAGTAGAGATGAGATTCCACCATGTTGGCCAGGCTGGTCTTGAACTCCTGACCTTGGGCGATCCACCCACCTGGGCCTCCCAAAGTGCTGGGATTGCAGGCGTGAGCCACTGTGCCTGGCCAGGAATGATTTTCTTTCCCCACTGCTACCTGATGCATCGCAGACCCTTATGAATCACTCTGTTTTACCCATTCTGTTGTCTCCTCTCTGTCTCTTTATAAGCAGCAGGAAAATGGGACCCAGCTGGTGACAGAATTTCTGCTGGTGGGATTCTCCAGCCTCCCACACCTGAAGACCACACTCTTCACCCTATTCTTCCTCACCTACCTGGTCACCCTCGGTGGCAACATCACCATTGTCATCATCATCCATACGGACAGGTTGCTCCACACTCCCATGTACTGCTTCCTGGCAGTGCTGTCCCTTTCAGAGACCTGCTACACGCTGGTCACCATCCCCAACATGCTGGCTCATCTGCTGACGGAGAGCCAGGCCATCTCCATCCTTGGCTGTCGGGCTCAGATGTTTTTCTTCCTGGGTCTGGGATGCAGTCAATGCTTCCTCCTTACCCTGATGGGTTATGATCGCTATGTGGCCATCTGCCACCCCCTGCGCTACTCTATGATCATGAGACCCACCGTTTGCCTCTGCCTGGGAACCTTGGTTTTCTGCTCTGGGTTCTTGGTGGCCTTGATCGAGACCAGCATGATCTTCTCATCCCCCTTTTGCCGCGGAGACCGCGTGGAGCACTTCTTCTGCGATATTGCCCCGGTGCTGAAGCTCAGCTGCGCCCAGAGCACCCACAAGGCGCTGGGCATCTTTTTCCTGAGCATCCTGGTGGTGCTGATCTCCTTCGTCCTCATCCTCCTCTCCTATGCCTTCATCGTGGCAGCCATCGTGAGGATTCCCTCCGCAGCTGGCCGGCGCAAGGCCTTTTCTACCTGCGCGGCCCACGTCACCGTGGTTGTGGTACATTTTGGCTGCGCCTCCATCGTCTACCTGCGTCGGGAGTCCGGGGCCAACCCCGACCAGGACCGCCTGGTGGCCGTGTTCTACACGGTGGTGACGCCACTGCTGAACCCTGTGGTATACACTCTGAGGAACAAGGAAGTGAGGGTGGCTCTGAGGAGGACCCTGGCGCGGAGCCGCGGTGTTTTTAAATAAGAACCTGCTTGGCAGGGCACAGTGGCTCACGCCTGTAATCCCAGCACTTTGGGAGGCCGAGGCAGGTAGATTACCTGAGGTCAGGAGTTGGAGACGAACCTGGCGAACGTGGTGAAACGCTGTCTCTAATAAAAATACAAAAATTAGCCGGGCGTGATGACGTGCGCCTGTAATTCTGCCTACTGGGGAGGCTGAGGCAGAAGAATCGCTTGAACTCGGGAGGTGGAAGTTGCGGTGAGCTGAGATCGCGCCATTGCACTCCAGCCTGGGAGACAAGAGTGAAATTCCGTCTCAAAACAAAACAAAACAAAACAATAAACAAACAAACAAAAACCTGGTCTACGTTTCATGCTATTCTAGTTTTTTTTTCTTTTGGAGATAGGTTCTTGCTCTGTTGCCAAGGCTGGAGTGCCGTGGCACAATGATGGCTCACTGTAGCCTCCAACTCCTGGGCTTAAGTGATCCTCCCTCTTCAGCCTCACACATGGTTGGGACTACAGGTGTTCACCACTGTGCCCGATTAATTTTGAAAATTCTAATTTTGTACAGATAGGGGCTCACTCTGTTGCCCAGGCTGATCTCAGACTCTTGGCCCCAAGTGAGCCTCCTGTCTTGGCTTCCCTAAATGCTGGGATTACAGATGTGAGCCACTGAGCCCAGCCACTCTAGGGTTTTTATTAGCATGTGTACCTCCACAGACTCAGTTGTCCCATCTAGTAAACAGGGTTCACTCCCATGCCTTAAATGAGATAGACTTTGTCAACTAATAGTGCCTGAGACTTGGCCTAAGCTCAGGAATGGATGCTTTTTCTTTTGTCTCAATTCCTGGACTTGACTGCAATGCATGGTGGTCTGCAGTGTCTGATGTGCACCAGTGGAGGGTGCTATTAAGGCAACTCCTT